TGCTACAGAAGCAGACATTTATTAATAAGTAGGCGCAAAATCTTATAGCCTGTTCTGGAAGTGGATGAAGTTCCAGCTCTTGGTTCTGTTAGGTACATGAAAAAAAAAGACATGAAAAAATCTTACAAAAAAGATTTTGCAAATATGGCAGTGACCAGCTCATCATCCGTCAGAATTAGGATCTGATATGGATCAAAAATAGCACCCACTTCCTATGGTTTTGTGAGAACTAAATGAACTAATACGTTTACATCTCTCAGACTTGTGCCAGTTACAAATGTGTTAGTTCTTAGTATTACTATTATTGTGGCACCATTCCTTATGGTAAAGGGTGAAAGACCTCTTAGATTCACAAACTCTAGTCAAGTAGATGTCTGTAAAATATTTTGGCTAACCCACTGATCTTGGATGTTAATAATTTCACAAAAGAGAACCCATTCCTAACCTCCAATACACCAATTGAGAAGCCATTTATTTCACAAATAATAACCTTTTTTTCAAAATACATTGTAATTAGTGAGCAAAGCCACATCATGATTGGAGATGATGATAGCCAAGGCTTCTAGAAGCTACCTCTGGCTTCCGTAATTCTGGCTGAGACATCAGAGCATAAATTCCTGATGAAGGCAGTGACTCTCTTGGGACACAGAACACTAACACACATTTATATTACACTGTTTATGCTGAAATATTTAAGAGTAAATTACAGGCAGCCGAACACCCTGTCTCCTCCAACCAGTTCCTAACTCAACTGACAATTTGTCGGATGCTGCCTCAGTTTGTTTTCAATAATGCAGTTCCAACCACAAGGACTGACCAGCTGAAGAGACATAAAGAGTAAGCACAAGCTCTATTTGCTTCATCCAGATTAGGCAAAAGTTTGTTCATGAAACTTTTCTCCCTTTTCAACAGAGAGTTGCTCCTTATTCCACGAAATTACAACTATTTGTACCGAATATGGCAGCATCAGCATCACTGGGTTCACCCCCGAAGCCCCTAGGTATCACCGAGGTGCCCTAGACATCTGCCTGAAAACTACAGCTATGGTGTCTTCTTTCAAGGCAGCTGCAGATCTTTCTTCTTTAGCTCTGGAGACTCCAGTAAAACTGAGATTTCTGGCCTATCCTTTCCCTAACACTACCTTTATCTCCTAGGCCCGAGACAATACAAGACAGGCAGGAGAGCCTCTTCTTCACTGAATGCTCTTGGGAAGGTTCACCAGAATCTTCTATACTTACTCTACTCCTATGGCTTTAATCTATATAAGTCACTCTCCGAAATCCCTGCCCCACCTTTCTCTGTTTTTTTTAAGAGAGTAACAAATACAGTAAATCCTCATTATCCACAGATAAGAATTCACGCCTTCACTAAAATTTGTAACTCCCAAATCAATAATAGTGGCACTAGGGTGGTCAGCAACAGACACGCACAGAGTGGCCAGAAATTTCCGTCCCTAACACCCAGCTCCCAGAAGAGGTCAAACAAGGGAACACTCCGCCTTCTTGTTTCAGCTCTTATACTATAAACAAGGGCTCTTTTTGTGCTCTGTTTAGTGGCATGTTTTTCACATTTTTGTGTTTTGTTGGTTTTGGTTTCGGTTTTGGTGATTTTGCTGTTTAAAATGGCCCTTAACCATAGTGCCCAAGTTCTGTCTAACATTCCTAAGCATAAGAAAGCTGTGATATGCCTTTCAGAGAAAACAGGTATGTCACCTAAGCCTTATTCAGGCTTGAATTATAGTGAGGTTGACGATGAGTCCAGTGTTAATGAGATCCCAAATATATTAAATAAGGTGTCTTTAAATAGGAAAAAAAGACAAAACACATAAAACAAAGTTATATATTAACCGGTTGATGAAAGTGTTGTGACCAGAGGCTCGTAGGAACCCAATGCCTAGCAGCGGTGGTTCAGTGTTCTCTAATTCATTGTCCAGTAGTGACTTTATAGACCATAACCACGGTGAATAATGAGAATTGACTGTAGGCACCAAGAGGCTAACTTACATTTCCCATATGCCTGGCACTTGAGGGAGCACAAATGAAGACTTGACTCCTCTCCCCTTCAGGAATCTACATCTATTTGGAGAGGCAGGGACAGATCAACACCATATACAAGGGTATTGGAGAACAATGCAATGCTCTACATTTCCTGTCAGTGGAAAGGAACTGAAGAACTGTTCAGGCTCGACTATTTTACACCCATATGGGAGCAGAGACATAATGCCTCAATTGTGGGGGGGCGTTTGATATATTTTAAAGTACTCTCACATTAAATATTGCATTATAGCCTTCCTGCCCTGTGGGATTGTTAGGAAAGATAGGAACATGACTACTTTATAAAGGAAGCCACGGAGCCTCAGGGAGAGGCTAAGTGACTAATATGACATAACCAGTAAATGGCAGGGCCAAGAATGCAGCCCAGGTTTCCTACCTCCTAATCCAGTGCTCTGTCCATACTAACACTATGAGATGTCACGATCAGAATATTACCTAGAGGCTTAAAACCATACTGTTGGGATGATTCTCCTCTTCTTTTCCTTTTGAAGCTTACTTGATGTATTAAAAATGAATATGGACAACCCTTGGCTAATGAATTAAAGTACACATGCTAAAAAATAACAAAATCAAGAGGAAATGGCCCGGGGATATGGGTTGGGAACAGTACACAGTGCAAGGTGCTGAATTTGGGTTCTGTTGCTCTTTGAACAGCTGTGGGAAGTTGGGAGACATGGTGTATTTAAGTAGATAAAAACATTCTCTAGCATGCTAAGCCATTTCAATTCAGTGAAGTACTGAAGAATTATTATTTTTTAGTAGAATCACATAATTTTGACAGGAACAAGAGATGCTGGATTGCTACAGATTTGATTTCTTGGCCCCTGGACAGCCAGGGTGACTCTGAATGAACTAGGATGCAATATACAAGTCTAAATGACCACTTCCATGAGTGGCTGATTTGAATCAAATCCTCCTAGTATTCCTTTTTTTGCCCCCAATACATGACTTCGTATTTGTTGATCTAAGGGATTATATAGACAGTGAGGAGCCGGTGAGAAGTAGTGCTTTATCAGAGTTGTTTTCCTCTGTTTTTAGGTAGGAATAAAGACAAAAAACGTTCAGCCACTAGACATGTCATAGTTTTTATCATCTTTTGCAAACCAGGGAAGTATTTCCGTCGTAGTCCTAAATTGTATCTGCTAGCTTCCAGTGACTGTGGTCTCCTTGCCAACTCCACTTGCCGTCCTAGATTTTTACTCATAGGTGTGTGTTGGCTTTGCTGGTCTCTCATCCAGGACATGCAGCTTTCAGTTAAAGATGCTGCATGTCACCCATGGGATATAAATGTCCTCTCTTCCTTGGAGGCACTAGATTTAGGAATTTTTGTTTCCTATTGCTATTTTCCTTATGAGAAAGGGTGAGAGAAAGGCAGAACTCCACCCTTACAAAACACCATCACAGCTGGGCTTCTGTAGGGATCTTGAGGGTTCCTAAATATCCCCCAAATGTTTGAAGTACAAGCAGTTTCATTCACACTGTTTCTCTCTGCTTTCTTCCTCTTTACCACCTGTCTCCTTCCTCTCTTTCATTCTTTTTCTGTCTCTTCCTTGGCTGCCAAATTCACTCATTTTTTTTTTCTCCTCCCCATGTATTTTGGTTCCCTGCACTTCCACTGCCTTATATGAGATATGGTATTGTAGTGGGAACGAGGACTCTTTGTTATGAGTAATATGTGTAATTAACAGATCACCAAAACTGATACTTGAGTAGATGGTGTCAAACCATATTTAGCCGATTGGGTTTGAACACCTGGCAGAACAAGTTTGGTCCAATAAAAAGAGCCGAATTCTTTCCCTTTTAAGAGCTCTCAAGACACTGGTTACATCTAAACCATAGGGGTAGGGGAAGGGTGCCATTTGCCGTTGTAATTCAGACGGAGGGATCACCTGGCAGAGGAGGGAGAGTTGCTTTTTAGGTGTTCTCCGCATCGCCGTACACGTGTCCCTTTGATGTGTGGAGAATGCATGAGAGGCAAAGCAGGGCGATTTCTGTGGGAAGCTAGACCAGCCTCCCTCGTTACATAGGCTCGTCCTCTGCATTGCATCCGAGCTTCAGTGATTTGCTGTTTGGAGACTGCAGATTTGCATAGAGCCCCTCGCTTCGCCAGCGTGTGTGGTTTTTTTCTTTTCTTTTCTTTTCTCTTTTTTCTTTTTCTTTTCTTCTCCCTCCCACCCCCCTCCTTCGTCTGCTTCTTTTCCTCCGCTCTCTTTCCCCTGTTCGATCCCCGCTTCCTTCATAAGGGTGTACTCTTCCCTCTGAACCCCTCGCCGGGCGTAAGTGTCAGGAGGCGGCGGACGCGGAGATTGCCTCGGGAGCAGGCGATGCGCGCCGCTGCTCCGCGCGCTGCCCGGGGGAGGCTGGCGCGATCCGGCGAGCGGGCCGGGGCTGAATGGAGGGAAGGGGTGCCTCGATTCCATGGGGTCTGCTTCTCCCTTGAAAGGAGGTTGGGCCGGCGAAGTGGCCTCCCCAGTCCCCACACACAATGCTAAATGGATTTACCTAGTGGATTCGCGGTGGATGGCTGTCATGTAGAAGTGAGGACCCTCCGGGAGGAGCTTTAAACAATTTCCCCGCTCCCCACCCCCCCGGCACGCACTCTCGCCCGAAACTCTTTGGGAGTATCTCTCGAGAACCTGGAGCCCTGGAAATCTGGGAGCAGCCGCTCGCTCCGCGCTCGCTGTTCCCCGGGGCTGCCTTCCCGGACAAGCCCCCCATCAGCTGCATTTGCCTCGGCTATGTTTCGGATTCTTTGGGGTGCAAGGCACGGCGGACTCCAGGACCCCGAGAAGACTGTCCGAAGGAGGGAGAGGATGGGTGCCCTGGCGCGGTGAGGCGGTCGGCCCCTCAGCCCACCCGGAGCCGCCCGCTCCCCGGCTCCCTCTCCCCTCCCCGCGCCCCAAACTTTGCCTCCCGCGGCGGCTGCCCCTCGGCGGGCGCCCCGCCATGTACCAGAGGATGCTCCGGTGCGGCGCCGAGCTGGGCTCGCCCGGGGGCGGCGGCGGCGGCGCAGGGGGGCGCCTGGCCCTGCTCTGGATAGTCCCGCTCACCCTCAGCGGCCTCCTAGGAGTGGCATGGGGGGCGTCCAGTTTGGGAGCGCACCACATCCACCATTTCCATGGCAGCAGCAAGCATCATTCAGTGCCTATTGCAATCTACAGGTCACCGGCATCCTTGCGAGGCGGACACGGTGGGTCTGAGGTGCCAAGTTCTCGCGGGTTACTCCCTGTCTCCCTTTCAACCCTGCGCTCGCTTCCCGGCCCCTAAGGCTCAGAGAAATGGGAGCGCGAGAAAGGGAGGTGCATTTGGGTGTGTTTGGTGGGAGCCACTTATCTCTTTGAAGACAATAGAAAGGGGCTGGGGGAAGGCGTCGCGGGTGTTTGTGGTGAGGGGTGGGAGGGGCGTTTCTTGTCGGGGTGCCGGGAGAAAAGATGTGGGCACCTATTAAAGGACCATCCCTGGCCGGGCGCCTGGGCCCCGCGGGAAGGGGGCGTTACTAGCCAGAAGGTCACTCGGTGTGGCCGGATGGGGCGCCGCGCTCAGCCGAGGGACCTGGGCGCCACAGGGAGGAGGGCTCTGCAGAACCTTTTGTCTGTGCTGTGTGTTCTGCCCCACCTCCTGCCCATTTTCCCAGGCCTGGGGGAGGGAGAGGTTCCAGCCTGTACATTCCTTCAAAGTGTGCCCAGACCGCAGTGACTGTGAAGCGGTTGGTCCCAGGACTCACTCAGCACGCTGCCAATTGCTTTTGCCCCCACCTCTTCCCTTAATTGGCGAAGGTAGGAGAGTCCCCGAGGCACCCTCTCCAGGGCCGGCCAGTCCCCTGCCAGGCTCCGGGGGGACCTTTGAACATCATTGCCTTTACTCCACCCACCTACACAAATAACACTTCTCTTTCTTGGTGATTGGACTGAGTTATTTTTTAAACAGAGCAGAGTTATTTTTTAAACAGAGCAGCTACCCAAACCCATCTCCCCGGATCCTGTCTGAAGGCTGTTGGGATGAGGGAGGTCCTGCTTCCTTCTTACTCAAGAGTTGAGTGCTTTCCAGAGAGGGCAGGGGGGTCAGTGCTGGCCGGTCTAAGCCAGGAGGTCTGCCTGGAGGAGAAGTTAGAGTAGAGGGAAACTATTCTCCTGACCCCAGGTTCCTTTGTAAAGAGCAGAGTGTGGAGAAGAGCCTTGGCTGGTAGGTTTCTTCTCCAGAGCGGCCAACAATGTTAAGGCCAGGTTCCTCTCGTTTTCAGATAAGTGCCTGTTTCAGATTCCCTGAACTGCCAATAAATAAAACATCAAACTGTTTTTGTGAGTCTTTCCCACTACTACCTGTGTTTCTTCTCTCCCAGTGTCAAGTCTGCTACTTGAAAAGGCAGGGTGAAAGTTGTGGAGACTTAAATCCCTCCCCCCACCCTTTCCCTGCAGGGCCCCTTTCTCTTTCAGACTCGGTTCAGCTTTCCATCCTTTTACCCTCTTCTTAGGTAAATCTTCTCCCCAGAGCAGCTGCTGCTTATACCAGGACAGTCCTCTTCCCCAGGGACAGGCTTCCTACCTGGGGACAATTCTGGTTAGAGATGAGGAGCTGGCTTAACCCAACTGAAGAGAGAACAGATTCTCTTGACACCTGTTTAGGAGTGGCTTAGAGACACACCTCGCTGTGGGTCCTAGGAACCCCTTTCCTTCCTTCCCTCAGGTTCCTCTCAAGAATTTTCTCTAGTTCAGAGTGGCTTGGATGGAGAGGAGTGATGCCCCACACCTGGGCTTCTTAGCTGAGAATAACAGAAAGGCTAGATCCCCCTGAAACCGTAAGGAGTTTCTGCTGCTCTCACCACTTGCTCACAGTATTCCAGGACCTTGCTGCTCCTTTTACCTGGGTGCTGTTCCCACCCACTGCCCTGCCTTTGTGCAAAATTGTGTGAGCCCCGTGGGAGGGAGGCAAGTCAGGGTGCAGAAGGGGCAGACATAGAGTGGGTGGGTGAGGTGAGCCAGATGGGGGTATGCGAGGGGGTGGGGCGCCTAATTGTGCCAGTGGGAAGTGCTTGGCTAATCATCTCATATGCATATTAACTTCTCCTTTTCTGTGGCTCTGCCTCTCCCAAGGGCTGAGGCAACTGAATGGGGAGCGCCCTGGGGAAATGGAGAGAGGTGAACACCGAGGGGCCCTGCCGCAGAGCCGGCACTCCTTTGCCCTTCCCACCGCAGCTCCTGCCCCAGTCAGGCGCCGTCTGCTGGTCTTTACAAACATTTCTTCCCCTCCAGAATACAGTGATTGTCTCTGTATGTGAATGAAAAACTAGGCGCACCTATCATTGAAAAAAGGAAAGGATAGAAGATAGTGGAGAAAACTGTACGTGAGCAGTGGTTGGTATTACTCTTTTGGGTCAGAGAACTTTCTCTTTCCTTTTTGAAGGTTGTATTGTATGATCATATTTGTTTTTGAAACTCTCCCCACCCTCCTTACACATACTTCTGGAGGAAGATTTCTGATTCCCTTTTTTTTTTTTAAATCAGAGTAACAAACTTACCTGTCAGTAGCCAGCCTCCGCCAAATAAAAGCTGCCGTGAATCTTTCATACTTCATCCCTTTCCTTCCTTGAAAAGAGGGAATTAACTCTGGCTAGAGAACAATCAAGGAACATTAGGGATGAAATAAGATGGAGAGATGTAAGGTGGGAATGCAGAGGGGCTGAGAGCAGGGCAGGCAGGGTGGTGGCTTAAAAGAAACCTAGTAAGAAAGAGGTGATGTTGAATTTCTTGGGTCAATAAACTGCCTGAATATTCAGCTAATTAGTCTAAGGACCCACAAGGAAATAATCTTTGAGCCTAATAGACGAGGGTGAAGGGGAAGAGCAAAGGTGAATGACAATATGATAAATTCGTAGCTGAAAATCAAGGCAGGTGTAAATGAGGTTTAGTTCAAAATCTGAGACTACTGAAAACATACATATGTTGATGAACAAATCGGCCAGCCTGGCTTTTTGTATTAGAATTTCTTGGAGTCATAAGCATTTTTTCTCATAATAGGGAAAGCATGTATATGCTTGAATGTGTAAAAGAAAAATCATGTGTTATTTTAGGGAATAAAATTGAGTGTACCCTCTATGTTTTGAAAACTGCTGGGTTGACTATCCAGGTTCTTCATTCTTCTTCATTTTCTCATCTTGCCATGCTTCATTTGCACTATTATGAGGTGTCACTTACAAGGATTGCAGGGTGCTGAAAGCGCTCATGGCTACCCTGAGCATCTTTTCGCAAGCTGACCCAGTTGCAGAGATTATGATGAGGATTTTTTTAAAAATGCATACGAGAAGCAGGTTTTGAGATCACCGCAGAATCCATTTTATTTTGCATGTACTTAAAAATATAAGTGATGAGAATACCTCCACAAAAAATTATATTTTCATTTAAAAAACCAGAGAATTGTATGACTGTTAATGATAAAAAGCAAGCTTGCTTATAATTAAGAATGCTACTTAAAGCCAGCGAGAGTTCAGAATAGACCAGTGTGTTCAGTTAGTATTTCTTTAGTGATGTGCTATATGTGCCAAGCATAGAATGATGTCAGCGCAGTGCTCGGGTTCCCATCTCTTCTCCTGGCTTTCCTGGGAACCTCTGCATACTTTCAGAAATTAGCTTAGAACCTCTCAGTAATTGCAGGAGATAAAGGAAGGAGAGAGCCATCACACAACTGAGCACACCAGGGCTAGCCGTTCTCCTCCCACAAATATGAGCTCCGGAAATTATACTGTCATGATTAGCTTATAATATTAAAGGGCAAAAGGGCTTTCCCAGAAGGGAATGTTAACAGATTTTAAAAGTGTGGTTTGTAATTGAAGTAGCCCAATGCTGTTATATAAGAATAGTAATTATATCTTGAATTTATAACATTTTTCTTTCTGAGGCACTTCTGTACATACACTAACTTCTAAGAGGAGCTGTCGGTCTTGGAGGGAGTTAGAATAACATTTTCCTTGTAAGGGTACTGAGGCATACCGTAAGAGTACCGAAAAATGAAGCCAAGTCTCTGATCAGAGTCAAAGAGGAGTTAGAATCAAGGCTTCATGGCCCAAAGCCCAGAGCAGCTGAAAGGGTCCACCATGGGCTTTAATGGTTGATCTCTTGGAGAAGAAATCATTGCAAGGACCAAAGCCTAGCATTTTGCTCCCAACATGTGTTAACAAGAATGAATACTGTACGAGAGGCTGATGGTCACCTCACTGATGTTCCACTGCTCACTTCATTGATTCTGCTGAGGAGGGTTTTGTTTTTCTTTTGTTTTTCTGAGATGTAAGTTGCTGTATGATACAGTGATCCCTTTGCTCCTTTGTCTATCAACCAAGAGAGTTGCAACCTATTGCAATATACTTAGTGTTGAAGAAAAATTTAGCTTTTCTAGTAATTAATTCATACGTGTGACCCAAAACATTTTTGGCTATGAATATTCAGCTGAAATAGACATTTCTGCCCCACACCTCTTTCTTACATTGGCTTTTTGGACAAAAATATACATCACTGCAATGCTATTTTAGATGAGATGGTCAGCTAATATTTCTAGAAGAAGCTTTCAATCAGTCATGTTCCAACTAATCCAAGATTCTCGGGTAATTTTTGGTTGCCCCCAACCTTAATATATTTATTTTTTAGATTGTGCATCCATTCCTTCAGAAAATATATGGTACGTGCGTGTTTTTGTGTTCGTGCATCAGGGATTGTGGAAGGCTAGATAATAATTGGGATAATGGAATAGAGGTAAGAGAGGAGGAGCAAGGTACCCATGGCAGGACCATCAGAAAGTCTGCAATTTAGTTTTAAAAAATCCAAGCTATTGTTAGAGTTAATCATTAAGCAAAGAAACAAACCTTGTTCTGTAAAAACAAGTAGCCTCTGAGCATAAATGCAAAAAACAAGTTTGTGTATGTGTGGCAGTCATCTGGGACTCAACATGAAATGATGTGATAAAAACATCAACATAGTGGATTTTATCTACATTACATTATATTGTCCTTTAATATTAATGTTCCAGAAAGAGCTTCTTGCACAATTGCCTTTCACCAAGTTGCATATATTTCTAACAAAACAGGAAGTCTTTTATTTTTCAAATAGAGATAAGTTTGGTTTTGCAAATCTATTTAATACAGGGGCTTCTTGACTTAAATTCAAACTACTCTAAAAACTATTGAGGCAGCTTGGTCTGGTGAAG